TTTTAATAGCGAGAAGTTACTAAGCGTATAATATTAGCAAAAAGCAAATGATCGGGATATTTATGCTAGGCATATACGTTTTTGAACACGTGTGCTTGAACAGAGACATCATTTTCACGGTTTGTTTTCGTTATTTATATCATATGGTCGATTTAGTACATCGCTAAATCCACGTGAAATGTTATTGCACTTCAAACATAACTGTGTTTGGGTCACTGATTTAGGCGCCGTGTGGGTTCACCATAAGCAGTTGAATTGCAGTAAATCGACACCTTAAACAAGACCCTAATTGAGCCCGTCTTGATAGCGCACATTTTGACATTTAGCGAGTTGACTTAAACATTCTGTAGCTTAAACTAAGCTATCAAAACAAAACCTGCAACTGTATATCACTTACATTTCCTGTGGAGAAGAGTCTTGTAGTGGTGGAAGGCACCAAGACCATAGCCGTAGTTCAGACCGTAGCTGGCGAGGCCATGCCCATAGCCGTAGTGGCCGAGGCCATAGCCATAGCCATAAGCCGGAGCATGGGCGACGGTGGCCACTGCTGGAGCAGCGTGGTAGGAAGCCACCTTGGCGACGGCGGGAGCGGTGGCGTAGGTGGTCACGGTAGGAGCGGTGTGGTAGGTGGACACGGTGTGGGTGGAGCTGCCGGTCACGGCTGGAGCGGCGAAGGCAGCAACGGCTGGAGCAGCGTGGTAGGTGGCGACCCTGGCGACTGGAGCGGCGGCGTAGGTAGCGACGGCTGGGACACCGTGGTAAGCGGTCGCGTAGGACCTGACGGCGGGTGCGTAGCCGTATCCAGTCAGTCCGGAGTAGGCGATTCCGTGGCCATAGCCGTAGCCGTTGTGGAGGTAGCCAGCAAAGGCGCTTGTAGCCAGAGCCAGGACGAGGCAGGCGCGGATCTGTTGGAGACAATGCAAGCAATAATCATGAGAGACACTCAACTGTTGTGCCGACGCCTACATGAACTTTAAAGAAGTACCGCAGGATTAGAAAAAATTTTAGCAAACTGAAATTTAGGTACCTCTGTTCACAGTTTGTTGTGTACGAATCAGTCGTGCCTAAAACATATATCACTCTAAAAAAAGTTTGTGCGTCTACTTTCACGCACAACACTCGAAGAATCAATCAGCGCAACTTACGGAGGCAGCGCAGAGAATAGCGGTGCCGAAACATCTGCTTAGAGCAAAAAACGCAGACTGCGGTGTGACATTTAGCAATGCAAGCGTGACGTTTTGCATTGCTTAATGTCACAACTCAGACTGCATTTTTTGGTCTAAGCATGTGTTTCGGCATCGTCATTCGCTGAGCTGCCTCCGTAAGTTGCGCTGATTGGCCCTGCGAGTGTTGTGCGTGAAAGTAGACGCACATACTTTTTTTAGAGTGTATGAAGTATTATGATATCAATGCAAACGCGTTGGCCAATGCAAATGTTCTTTGCGTGTTTTTTTTTTTCTAAGCCAAATGTTTGTATTGGTGAGCGTGTAAACTTGATTCATAGTTTTCTTTTAAGCGCGGCTGATTTGTACAGAATTAAATAGAACTCGCAATTGCACTCTTACCATGACTGGAGGTGTGTGTTAAGCTGAGGAAGATCAAACTGGTGAAATTTCGAAGTTTAATACCGTATTTATAGTCTGCGGGGAAGGAGAAATTAAATGTGAACTAAGGGATATTTACTTTCATTCCTAAATTTGATTTCTTGCTTCTAAATATTTACAGGCACAGGGATTAGCCGGCCACGCCCAGTAGTGCCCCAAGGCTAGAGGTGCGAGCCTGACTAGATGTCCGCCACGATTCGAGAGTAATGTTGCAGAGAGGAAAATCACTCCGCGCACAGGAATGTCTGAAATGCAGTATCAAGACACATAATAGGTGGTCTTCTAAATTTTATTGCTGCGCTTTTCTTGGTATAACTAAATTTAGTTCTCCTGTCAAAATGACTTACGGCTAATAACTTTACCTTGTTGTCAACAATGATATTACAATATCAGTTGCCAAGGAGAATTTTGCTGATGGCTAAAATATAAAAACTTGAAGAAGATTGTTCGGTAGGCATATTATTCAGCGGAAGAAAGAACAACTCTAAAAACACACGTTTTGATTTTTGAAAGTGGACAAACCTTAGCCTAACTTGTTTGGGAAATTAGAACTTCGTTTTCTAAACAAACATCACCGTCATTTTAGCATAGGGTCGGCACCTATGATAAGATGACTGACTTATAACTTGGCTTTTCATTAAATATTTATTGGAAATAACATATTTAAAAAATAATGTATACGCGCTGGAACATGGCGCGAAAAACCAACCAAAACGCTTAAAAATCAAAGCAAAAAAATTTGCAAAAAAAAAAAAAAACAACGAAAATAACGCATTTTGTGAGGGTATATGTCATGGAAAAATAATGTACGCGTTTTTATCGAGACCATATTTGCGGCTCGCGAGCATTAAATACGCTCGTTTATCAAAAATTACGCGAAACCATCTTCGCGGGTTTTCATTGTTGTCCGATTTTGGACTGGCATTGCTCACATCTGTTTCAGCCTTAATGTCTGAATTCGCAGGATGTCAATACGGACATTATTGAGTATATGGCATCATCCGAACAAAATTTAAGGCGCCTTGTTGCAATGTCCTTTTTGAGCACTTTCCGACCCTCATTGCTCCCATGGGCCTCGGCACTGGCCCGAATATAACGTCCATTAGCGCGGGCTAGATGTAAACCTTCTAACTCCACTGTTTTGCTGTTCTGACACATATATATAAATAAATGTGAAATGAGGTATCTCCACTGCGAAAACTTGATATATTTTCGATTTTCCCAACTCAATTTAATTTAGTTTTGACAAATGCAGTCTTCTATATTCCGTGAAGCATATTTAGAGTTGACAAATGCAGAAAAACAGACAGTTTGAACTATACAACTCACTAAGAACGTTTTGTTCGTGTGTTAACAACCAATTTGTTTGGTGCAGAAATGTAATGACGAGTCACTTGGGCAGAAAGTTAGAAAGGGCAAGGTAGATTGATAACAAAAAGAAGTGGACAGGGCGAGCGTAGCTCCTAATGAACCTCTTGATGTAATTATAAAGATAGATGAAGTAAGGAATACTGCAAACAAAAGCGCAATACTATTATAATAATGAAAATAAAAAAGGGTATATAATATGTGAGTCGTATAATATAAGATAGAAATATAGAAACAAGTCGGACGTTATAAATATGACAGTGAGCAGTTGGGCTCTCCCGGGAATGTCGCAACGTGAACCCTTTGGAGAAGTAATATCGCCGGTGCAGCGAGCCGGCTTGCTGAGAGTCGCTGAAGAGCATCACAAATACAGGATTACACCATCACAAAGAGGTACTGCGACGCTCGTGCCTATCAAAATGTCAAAAGGTGGGCATTTAGCCCCAGAAATGATATTTCAGAATACCAGTGCGACGTTTTGTCTCAAATACGTCTAGCGGTGGAAAGTAAACAAGTTCAGACATCGAGACCCATAAACTTTCAATTGGGATGAAAATGGCTTACTTTTGTATTTTCACTTATTTTATTTGGCTCGTTTTATTTTTTGGAGCTCAGCTCTTAGGCGACCGTTTTTGCGTATAGCGGCGTTGCCGTCGCCGTTGGCGTAACCGCCCCGCTAAATTTAGAGGAAAATTGAATTGGTGTTGAGGTCACGTTAGGTCAATTTACCCGCTAGATCTAGCGGAGAAACAGAATTCTTCATGGGTGACGTGACACGAAGTCATATGACGTAATTTGCCCCGCTAAATTTAGCGGGGAAACTGAATTGGCGTTAAGGTCATGTGGCGCCATTTTCCCCGCTAAATTTAGCGGGGAAACTGAGATCCGGAGGAGGGGAGGTGGAGGAGAGGAGGAGGAGCAAGGGAGAGGAGGAGAGGAGGAGAAACGGAGGCGGAGGAGAGAAGGATGAGGAGGAAAGGAGGAGGAAGATGGAAGGAGGAGAGGAGGAGATGACGAGGAGAAGGAGAGTCATACGTCCTCCCCTTCTTACCCTCTCCTCCTCCTCAAGAAATGCGCTCTAATTTCGCATTACAAAGATTCGTAAAGGTTTCTTTCTTTCTTTTCTTTTTTTTACTGGCGCCATATTTTTTATATTCTCCTATTTCAGGAAAAAGTTACCTCTCGAGATACCAAGTCCGTCTACTTGTCCCTAGTGATTTGCGTTGTAGGTGTTTTGAAACGTTTGGTGTTCAGAAATTGAATAAACGAAAATTTGATTGTCCGATTTGCGTTCTAAATGTGGCTCCAAACGACTAATGCGGACTAGCGTATTTCGACCCTGCTTTAGTCATAAAATACCACATAAGACTTACATTTATGTGTTGCATGGATGTTCAGGCAAGTTTGGCAGTATCTAAAATGACGTAAAACCTTTTCTATGAAAATGAAAATTTTGACACGTTTTTATTGTTGCCAACCACACCCGAATAAACCAAACCTTCAAATGGGAAAATATTAAACTGGATAAGAAGCAGGAAACTCTCCAGTTCAAAAATTCGCTCACTTATTCGCCGCGGCTAAAGTATACTAAAAAAGAAAACATTGCTTGCACGCCACATTTTTATATGGGCACCTTCTTTCTTATAAACCTAAAAACGGATAACTAAGCGTCATAGTGATTAGAGTTAATAGCGGGAATGCGAAACAGTTTAACATATGGAGATGTCACCCCGGGACACCTTGCAAACAAAAAGAAGCAAACAAATCGATTGGATCTAAAGTCTATTTTCCCATATTTATAAGTAGGATATCTCGCGAACGTGTATGGGCGTGTCCAGGCGGTGATATATCCGATAGAGAGAGGTATGAGGAACTTCACTTCATAAAACGTATTTACGTAGGAAGTTGTTCCCACCCTTTCCAGTAGTCCGCGTGCCTTCGTTCAGCGTCCCTTGGGTATAAATACGATCGCAGCTATAAGCGTTTCATCAGTTCCAACTGCTTCAGCTTGAACTTTTACACAGAATCATGGTACGAACGGTGCTGCAGGTTTTTCGGACAATCGACTTCGATGATATATAGTGGCACTAAAGACGTTGATGTCTCAGGCAAACTTCGAACTTCACGATATTTCGTTGTATTAGGAAGTCTTCACGCTCATTGTATGTTACATTCCTTTCAGCTTCGTGTCTGCCTCGTCCTCGCCTTGGCCACCAGCGCCTTCGCTGGCTACCTCCACCACGGCTACGGCTATGGCCACGGAGTCGCCTATTCCGGTCTGACTGGATACGGCTACGCCCCCGCCGTGAGGTCCTACGCGACCGCTTACCACGCTGCTCCAGTCGCCAGGGTCGCCACCTACCACGCTGCTCCAGTCGCCAGGGTCGCCACCTACCACGCTGCTCCAGCCGTTGCTGCACTCGCCGCTCCAGCCGTGACCGGCAGCTCCACCCACACCGTGTCCACCTACCACACCACTCCGACCGTGGCCACCTACGCCACCGCTCCCGCTGTCACCAAGGTGGCCGCCTACCACGCTGCTCCGGCCCTGGCCACCGTCGCCCACGCTACGGCTTATGGCTATGGTTACGGCCTCGGCCACTACGGCTATGGACATGGCCTCGCCAGCGGCCTGAACTACGGTTACGGTCTTGGTGCCCTCAACCACTACAAGACTCTCCTTCACTAGAAATGTAAGGGTTGAATTCGACAAACTGTACAGTTTACGTCCGTTATCAAAACTTCTACGCGTTTCTCCTTTTATATAATTTAAGAAATGAACTCGTGGCCACCCTATACAATTTTAGTGATCTGCATCGTAACCGTATTTTGATTTACTGGACTGATATAGTGATATTTTACTGTTTTGTTACAGACACAACCAGCCCTCATCAAGAAGTTTGAAGTATTTAATGTATTCTGCTGATCGGAGCAGTGGTCAATAAAATGTCGCTAAAACATCTTTGGATTTTTTATTTCTTATGCACACCGTAGCATGGGAATATTTTTTTTTAGTTCATGTGTTATTAGACAAAAAGAAATGTAAGAACCTAGCCACCTCTTTTAGGTTACAGCGCACGAGTATACTCACACACTCAGAACACACGCACACTGGCAAATAGAAACTTCTCATCGCGACTTGAGACGTTCCATTTTTCCGGTGTGTGTGTATCTTCTAAGTGTAAGTAATCTTGTGCGCTATTACCTAAAAAACATAAATAGCCGAATCGCCGAAGCTTCCATCTTGAGATGAGAACCTAGCCCGGTTTTTGATACGCCGAAGGAACAGTTTTGTTTTCTTTTTCGTTGGGTATAATGGCGTTTTCAAACATCTTGTTGCAAATGGAAAGCTTTGATGGCACTTCTCTCAGATGACATTATTTATAGCTTTGGGAAAAAAACATGGAGAAAATCATATTCATGAGACACGAGACTTGAAACCATTTAGAGAGATAGCGGGAGCGGTTTTCATTATACTGAGTCATTTTTGTAACGCTGGAACGTGAGAGCAAATGAGGATAAAAAACGTTTTCACCGGAAGTGTTGATTTCGAAACTCTTTGCAATGTGTTCATGCTGGAACATTCTAGCTGCTCGCGGAGTATCGGTAGAAATATTGTTTGTACGAAGGGAATATCATCCTTCACAGTCATATAGAAATGAAGTTTTATAATACTTCTATTAAACATATTTTTATCACATACTCGCGAATAAAAACAAAAAACTCCACTCAGTTGTGAAGGCCAAAATGAAAATGAAAATTGGAATAATATTTGTTGGAATTATTTAATGAAAAAAATAAAAAAATATCTCTAAACGAGTTAATAATTTTTAAAATGGCATTTGCCTCGGAGGTTTCGTCTTTTAAAGAAGGGCTTAAATTGGGCCGGTAGGTAACAGTTGAACATGATGAAAAACAGCCTCAGAAAATCACGGACGATGAAGAGGGAACAAGCACGACAGGAAAACGGCTGTTTCGCATGGTTCATTCTGTGAAAAGGAAACAAATAAAACTTCTTAAACCAATTACACAGGACTAAAACGCACACCTACCAGGCAACTAGAGGCCACAGAAATAACGCCTTACAAATTGGCACTCATGTTAGGCCGAAAGTACGTTATTTCTTTCTCGGATAGCGCCACCAATGGCCTACTGACGCGTCTGTCTGCCAACAAAGAAATAAAAAAAAATCTTCACTTATTTCTCGAGTCATTCTGTCGTGGTGTCTACCCACAACAACGACGTCACCAAAGTAAGGGTCAGATTAACAGTTCCTGCAGTGTAGCGCTAAGAGTCCTCCGACCATAGCCCTAAGGGAGTAAGCGTGCCCTCTTCACCTTTCATTTAAACTCCTTCCTGTCTGGACTACATAAGATTCTGATAGGGGTATCTGGTAGACGACACGCGGTGATCAGGTCACAAATGGTGCTTGATGTTTTTTGTGAATTTAGCTAGCAGACGTTTTCCCGCGCCAGCGCAAACCCTCGCGCATACCTGGATTATATTTTCCATGGCTAAGAACACAACAGGGATCCCGTACCGACCTCCGACCTGTTCTAGTATGTGGGAAAGCCGATGAAGGTAGGAGACTACCACCATTCGACTTCTTTCCACACCTGCCTTTCTCTTCTCTATACCTTCTGCGTGGTTCAAAAGGGAGCCCGCTACATCAGCCAAAAGGCCTAACCGAAACCCCGACATCCGTAGTCTATTCACTTTTCCCATGAAGTTGTCTTCCATCGAGTGCACGCACGGCGACTTTTTGAGAGCCGATCCAAGGCATGAAACTGCAACACCCCGCCCCGTTTTACTATTTATGAGTGGCCCTCGGTGTATTTTAAACACGAATTCATAAAATTATTCATGAAATTTACTTATCTTTACAACAGAAATATTGATTAGAGTTTATAGCGCAGTTCTTTACCTTCTGAATTTTATTCATGTTTAAAAATTAAACACGTCAATGATCTGTTAAGCACATCTAGAAAAAAAAAAACGCGAGACACTTTAGATTTTGTTCGAACAAACGCAATGCCACTATAAAATTTCCGCTCCTAGGTGTTAACTGTACACACTAACACACATTGCAACTTGTTTGTTATTCGTGCGAGAAATGGCAAAGCGGTGCTTGTTACTTGTTTCTTGGTTACTAACGTAGGATCTCTGTTAGTTTTTTGTCAAATGTAACCTTTTTAATTAAGATTCAAAGCGAGAAACAATCAAGGTAAATTATGTAGTAACTTTTCCCATAAATAATGTGTCCAAATAGATTTTTACAACGAAGCTGTGTATGGGTATACTTTCTGAATTTGTTTTGCGTGCGCGGACAGAGCCTGTTGATCAAGAACTCGCGGCGTCATAGTCTGCCCACCAGTCTTAGTGCCTCGTCCTCTTATGACGTAGACATTGCCATAGCGACGTTATCAGTTGCCCTTTAGACCTGCTATGGGCAGGACGCGCGTAGTTCGCTCTGAGGAAGAAGAACGTGCCCTCAAAAAGCGACCACGAGAACAAAAGCGCGAATGGGCGCGAAAGCGACGAGAAGCCGCTGCCGCCGAACCGGCAGCGGCCGACGCGTCGGGACCATCGAGTAGCTAAGCTGCTCGCTGACTGACGAAGAACAACAGCGTGCCCGTCTAGAGCGTCGGCGGCAGCAAAAGCGTGAGTGTGATCAACGTCGTCGAGCGAAAACGACCGACGAGGAACAGCCCGCCAACGCCAAGAGTATGCGATGCTCCCGTCAGAACCCCGAGTACCGTGAGTTGCCAATATAGTCATTCCAATACAGCTTCGCTGGTTATCCTTCTTCATAGGGTGGAAAGGCGCTAATTTTTTTTCCGGGCTGGAGCTTTGTGTGAATTTCGATTCGATAAGGACAAACAAGAATATAAGCATAACAAATGCTCAATGTTAAATGTTACAACTATGCCCCTCCGTTTCTACAAATTGTTCAATGGAAACCTAAAAATAAGCTAAATTAACTAAGTTTGTCTCGTTAACGTTTCCGCCCATCTTATTGTGCAATTTGACCTGTATCTGTTTTTTTTTTTCAAGCCCCACATTGACTATCAATTTACTGTACCCTGAAAGGTGAAAGTAAGTATTACTCAACATATTGTTTCTGTTGGGATCCGCTCATGATATAACAATGCTTAGTTACTTTTTAGTAGCATCGTGGGTGTTACCCCCCCTCCCCCCCCCCCCCCCCAATAAAGTAATGAAATACGCAGAACGTAAGAACGCAAGTGAGCTGGTGTATATTAAACATTTTAGTAAAACACCCGAGACTGAGGTAAAGACAGACGACGACAAGAAAGAGAAGTCGTTGTCTGTCTGTACCTCAGTCTCGGGTTTTTCACTAAAATGTGTAATGAAATACGTTTCTCCTTACTTGCGAATAAAAGGAACGCCTTATATTCATACGTTCCCTCAAAGCAATAGGAATGCGTTACCGTTACCGATAAAAAGTAACCTACGTTACGTTTGGGTTACATTTATTTATTCAATAAAATGTTTTACTGTTTTGACATTACAGCTATTTATTAGCGTGATATTTAAATACAAATTATGTTCATGCAGAAAGTTAACATGATTACCTTATTTTGCTTACGGTTCGGCCTATATTTTGCTTCTCTTAGTTCTATCATTAAAGGTAAAAGTTCGAAGGTATTCAAAGAAGTGGTAGCGTCAAATGACTTGGCGTCTAAAAATATTTTATGTTTTTTTAAAGAAAAAAAAAAAGGGGGGGGGGGCGGGCAAGAAGACGTAACTACCCGTTACTCCACGTAAGTAACGTAAGTAGGTTATTAGTTACTATTTCAAAAACATTAACGAGTAAGATACTACTTTGCCTAAAATGTAACGGGTTACCGCTAACGTTGTTACTTGTAACGCGTTACCGAAAGCACAGATTTTTAGTAACGTGCACATATCTGCCGACGACACACCATATGTATGGCGAGGTATTGTCGCTAACGGCCGTTCGCATAAGGGGTACACAATTTGTGTTGCTGCATTAGCCTGTTTGTCGCTGTTGGGATGAAAGATGCTGTTCCTGTGCGTTTCTGGTACGTCATGCGCCCTTAAAGGGGGACACTACTTAGGCATGCCTATTTTTGAACTGCTTCTTCAATCGGCGTAAACTTTGGAGGTGGTGTTTGTAGCCGCATTAAAAGGAGGGCATGCAAAGATTCAGCCCTGTGAACCAATTTTATGAGGTACTATACCCCAGAACGTAGCTTTGTATGGAATCTGCTCAATGAATCTATTGTTCAGAAATGGTGGTGATCACTACATATTTTTCTGGTGGAATGCATACTGGAATACTGGTTGCCGTTACTATGAAAATAAATTTAACAAAATATGCATTTTACAAGAAAAAAGTTTATGAATTTTTTTTTGTTTTTTTAACATTTACCAAGTACAAATTACAATTTTTCATAATAAAGGAAGATGAAAATGCAAAATCTAAGTTCATAGTAACCGAATCGATGAAATTTCGGCATATAATCCGCAAATTTTAAGTCTCTCGGAAGCTTCACACTGAAACGATAGTTTTATTAAGGTGGGATTTGCTGCCAAAAATGAAGCTGAGATAAATGCACTTAAAGTTTCAAGATAACGTGTTAAATTTTTTTTTTGCATTTTAAATGTCAGAAATTCTTTCCAGCAGTGTAGGTGATGTCTTCCTCAAACTTCTTTTGATATAGTGACATTGCTTTCAGCTATTTTCACTTGATTTCAATGCAAAAGTTCATAGATGCCAATGTTTTTTCCAAGAGCAAACGTTCGTATCGGCGAGTGTTAACGCTGGAATGACATTTCTCTATATTAGTCTCAGCGCGGCCCATTTCTCTAAAGCAAGATAGTACTCTTGGGATCGCACTCTTACCATGTTTGGAAGTGTTTGTTAAGCTGTAGAAGATCAAACTAATGAAATGTGGCGGTCTGATAGGGTATTTAATTATAGCCAAAAGGGGAAAGAAAAATGAAATGCCCATCAATGGTATTTACTTGTCTAAAAAAACTACGTTGCCTTGCTTCTAAATATTAGCCGGACACGCCTAGGAGCGTCTGAAGGCTAGATGTGCAAGCATAACTAAAGACCCGTCCGGACTCAAAAATATTTTTCAGAGAGGAAAATGACTTCGCGATATAGAATGTTTAAAATTCAGTACCGAGTCACATAATAGATGGACTCCTCGGTTTCAGAATTGATTTTTTTTAGCAAGACTAAATACATATACCTCTTCGGGCAATATAGGTTCCTGCTAATAATTATCTGTAGTCGTCAATAAATCGCTGTCATAATTTGAGTTGCCGTGAGGAATTCTTCAGTGAAATAAACAAAATAAATTATGTTTGTTTGGCAGCGGAATTATTCAGCTGGACAAAAATATAACTACGGAGAAAATACAGATGCTTATTTTTATTATGGAGGGTAGACAAACATTGCTCTAACTTGATTATCAAACTATCACTTTGGTTTCAATATAAACGCTTATACTCTAAGTCTACAGGGTTCGGCACCTAAATAATTGGGAACGAACTATCTTTAAAATGTTTAAGGTCTGAAACAAAAGCGCAAAAAACCAACCAAAGTACGTAAAGATAATTAAAAAATAAATTCATATATAAAAAAAAGGAATGAAACTAACCACACGAAGGCATTTGCGCTGCAGAAATTGAAAAAAATTGCTTTTTACGACACTGAATTGGCGGTTCTTGTCAATAAATCCGCCCGTTCCTCGAAAATAAGGGCACAAGGTACGATACTTAATTTTTTTAAGTAGCGGCGTCTGCAAGGCGGAGAGCGCCCGTCAAGAGGATTTTACCTGCTCGGTCGCGTCTCAGCGTTTACCATACTGCCTGTCCTTTTGAGCATACACGGTGTCTGAAATCAAGGCCCGGTTCTTTAGATCGACGGAAAAACTGAATTTCTTAACCTATCGCGCCAAGATTTTGTGCGGCGTTGCCCAATGGTGGTGCATTTTTTTTATAAAATTTAGAAAGAGCGAACTTACCTGAGCAAAAAGTAAAAAAAGAAAAAGCCTTAACTCCTATGGAAACGCAGCGAAGCCACCGATCTTCAAACAATAGGGCGCCCTATTGTTTAAAGACCAGTAGCTTCGCTGCGTTTCCATAAAGGTTAAACTTTTTTTCTTTTTTACTTTTTCCTCAGGCAAGCTTGTTTTTTGCAGATTTTATAGCAAAAGTCTCCACCTGTCGGCAACGCTGCACAAAATCGAAGCGCGATAGGTTAAGAAACCAATGTTTGCGATCAATTTAAAGAGCCTGGCCACTATTTGAGAAACCCGTATATCTTACAACGTTGTTGTAAGTTACCTCTCTTGATATCTTCTCCCCTACTCTCACATCGGGGTTTGCGCTGCATCAGTTCTTCAAGAAATTGGTTTCACAACTCCAATAAACCTAAAATATTTTGTCGGATTTCCGTGTAAAATGTGGATCTAAGCGACTAATGCGAGATAATTTAGGCTAATTCAAAGCTGTATTTATCATTGAGAGAACACAAAGAATCACTATTATTTATTGCGTGCATATTTAGACAGGGTAGGAGAGACTGGCTTAAAATCACGTGGAATGTTTTCACTGTAAATAGGAGATCTGTCAGTGCCGTAAGACGTTAATGTCGAAAAACTCAAAACAAGAAATTAATGAAATGGGAAGCAGGAAACCGTCTACTGGAAAAGTACGTTCAGGGATGCAGCACAGCCGAGAAATACTAGGCTGCTTGTTTAATATTTATATATGCACCTCGTATTTATAACCGTAAAAGTACCGTCAAACGTGTCGGTGACTGGAGTTCAGAGAAATAGCTTGAAAGCGTTTAACGTATGGAGGTGTCAACGCAATAGAATACAAAAAGAAGTAAACAGTGAGATTGGATCTGAATTCTCATTTAACATATTTATAAGTGAAGCACCTTCCCGAACCCGTTTAGGCGTGTCCAGGTGGTGAGCTTACGGATAAAGAAAGGTATGAGGGACTACAACTGATAAAATATATTTACGCCGGAAGTTATTCCCTTCCTTTCCAGTGATCTGCGTTCCTTCCTTCAGCTTTTCTTGGGTATAAATACGATCGCAGCTATGAGTGTTTCATCAGTTCTAACTGCTTCAGCTTAATTTGCACCCCGAACCATGGTGCTAAAATTTTACAGGTTTCTTGCACACTCTGCTTCTGTTACCTAGCAGTACTTACGAGTCTGCGGAGCAACAGCGGGGATGTCTCGGGAAAACTTCGGACTTCACAATGCTCCATCGTTAAAAATTATTCATTTTGCAAATTCTATATAGATTCCCTCTCAGCACTTACTAGTTTCTCAAAACTAACTTGTCTCTTTCTCTCTGAAAGATTGTAACTGGAAACGGATAAAACGTTGTAGTATTAAGCCCTTCTTGCGCTCACTGTGCGTTATATTACTTACAGCTTCGTGTCTGCCTCGTCTTCGGCTTGGCCACCAGCGCCTTCGCTGGCTACCTCCACAGCGGCTACGGCCATGGACTTACTTACTCCGGCCTGACTGGCTACGGCTACGCCCCCGCCGTCAGGTCGTTCGCCACCTCTTACCACGCTGCTCCAGTCGCCCGGGTCGCCACCTACCACGCTGCTCCAGCCGTTGCTGCCTTCGCCGCTCCAGCCGTGAGCGGCAGCTCCACCCACACCGTGTCCACCTACCACACCACTCCGACCGTGGCCACCTACGCCACCGCTCCCGCCGTCGCCAAGGTGGCCGCCTACCACGCTGCTCCTGCCCTGGCCACAGTCGCCCACGCTCCGGCTTGCGGCTACGGCTACGGCCTCGGTTACTACGGCTATGGACACGGTCTTGCCAGCTACGGTCTGAACTACGGCTACGGCCTTGGTGCCTTCAACCACTACAAGACACTTCTCCACTAGAAATGTAAGGGCCTCGTATTAAGCTTAACTTACACATTTCTTTTTATTGAATTTTCGTGGCACGGCTCCTATAGTAACCGACGAGCTAAGAAACTGAGGGCGTGGCGCATCCTTAGCTTCTTAATTATGCTCCGCAGTCAATGAGGTTCCGGCATTGGCGGATAAGAGAGCCAAAAAATCAATGACGAAGCAAGAAGCGTGAGCCTAAAAGCCACATCCTGCCTTTCTTAAGAGACTATACGGAGTGGAAGTTCGTCTGCTTCTTGCACAGGGGTTCCGATGATGTCAAAACGCCGAGCTCTTATCGGCTGATTGGACGAAAAAAAATAGTGGGTAGACCTTAAGGTATATAGCATTGAGGTCTACCCACTATCCTTCCAATAATAGCCAATCAGAACTCGGCGTCCTTCTGACGTCATCGCAACACCTGCGCAAAAAGCAGACGGCTTGCGCTTTGCATAACTGTGCTTTTGAATCTTTTTTTTTACCAATTGTGATGGTTCACCTTTCTGTTCCAGACACAGCCATCCCTCGTCGAGAAGACCGAAGTATTTAATATGTGTTGTCCATCAAGACCGTGGCCATTCAAATATTGCTAAAACATGAATGTACTCGTACGTTATTTGTAGGAAATTTTTGAGTGCAACCTTGTGTTTGATCTGCCGCGGGAGCTGGTATCCTTTGTAAAAGCTTGGTCTGCTGGACAAGTTGGTAGTGGACATTCATATTAAAAATAGCGCAAAAGAGACAGGAAAAAAAGACGAAGAAGCACACAGGACAAACGTTAACTGGCAACTAAACTTTATTGAACGAGACTAAGCGCGTGCATGGCGATAGCAAAGTTGGAAGCTTTCAATAAAGTTTAGTTGCCAGTTAGCGTTTGTCCTGTGTGCTTCTTCGTCTTTTTGTCCCGTCTCTTTTGCGCTATTTTTAATATGAATGGTATCATTTAATGTGAATAAATGCGCTTCGTACCACTCTTTGTTGTAGTCAGGACCATTCTTTTTGTTTCGTACAGATGCCTTTGAAAATATGGAAATAAATAAACATTAAAGTTCTCAAACGTGCAGTGAGACCACTGAGGGGATTAGCGGGTCCGGCTCTTAACCATCTGTGCTGTTTTTTTTTTTTTTTTAATGTGTGAATGCAGTAACGAACGAAGGTGTTTATGCGAGAAGCGTTTTCCCTAAATGTTTCAAGATAGTGCCACGCTTGACAGCAGTACAAGCGTGTTGTAAGCTGCGAAAATGTTGTTTGAATGATGCGACAATCATAACTCAGAATTATATCGCGATGTGGTTCAACAATATACAACATAATTTGTAAAAACCATCATGTGGCGAATGAAGTAAGTCTACCATCTTCTTAAGGTTGCGATGTATCGGAAGTCATGCTTAATGAAGAGCCTTTTCCGTCATTAAAGTGAATGCAAACACTTGCTAACTCTGTACTTCTTAAACATTATAATAGATTTTGAATGCATTTGAATAATATATTGTAGGGCCAAGAAGACGTTGCTAAACTGGATGACAAAGAAAATATTAGCATTTTTTATGACACGCAGGACTCCTTTTTTATGAATTGACTTATAGAAGAGTTCTTGAAACATATTTGACTTGTAAACAAAAGAGTTCAACAGACTACTCGTCTTTTAATATTTTCTGTGTAAATAAGTTTTCGAAAATGAGACAGTTAAGTTTTAGACATATTTATACAAGAAAACCACAATAGTGGTATTTCGTTTAATAAATGTAATGCTAAAAAAAAAAAAAAATCTTCGGTCCTCCTGATTTTAGTGGCAGTTCTCACGCACAGAAAAAGTTGTTTACTGAAATAACTGCTCTCTAAGGGTGAATTTTAAATTTTAAACAGCTGGCCCAGATCTGCTTCGACCAGACGTGCACTGTCGCGCTAGCTGCGCTGTAATTGGAACTCTTTACTTAGTGACGTTTTTGGTAACTAAGGAACAACTTCTTTACTTTTTGCGATAAGGAAAGTGTTACTTGGTACGTTTACCTTTGAAGCAAATAACGATCAAGATAAAGTTTTCAATTACCATTTTCAGAGCAACCTGTCCGAAGTTTTTCTCATTTCCGGCTCGTGCTTTGTTTGTATCTTGATTAGAAAGCGCTATAGCTGGATGAAACAGGAAAGCGTCATGTACAATATGAAAGGGCTGCACTCAATGCTGACTTCTTTACTTGCGTCCCTCTGTTCCCGAAAGCCGCCCCTTGGGACTTTGAAAAACAAGTCAAATCAGATAACTTGTTCCGTTGTCCTTTTAACTTTTCGTTGTACGATATTTGTACCTCATTTGTATTTTAGCTCCACCTTTGCCACCAGGTGCAGAGTCGAGATCGCGATCTTTTTCGAATACTTTTCAAAGAAGTTTCATCCGAAGGCCTTTGAATGGCCCCTGTAAATGGGGTATATATCTTAATTCTGAAAGGAGTATACAAAAATCGGCATATTGCTGGTCGTTACTAACAGCATACGCTCAAACCTTGGGTCCCATTTATCGTCTCCAAAAAACAACGGTTCCTCGCTATGATGTATTGCACTTTGAACGTGCATAATCCTGCATCATCCAGTTAAAATAGAGTTAAAACATTTGTTCTTGGCGAAAGATAAACGGGTGCTCTCCCCTGTTGCACTTTAAGGCCGACCGCAGCTGACGCTAAGATACAATGGTGTCAATCAAGAAGCGCCAAAAGTGCATCGTCACGGCGCTCGCGTTGCCTTTGTGCGTTTTACATCGCCGACTATGCGGAGCGCAAGTTCGTCTGCTTCTTGCACAGGGGTTGCGATGATGTCAGAACGCCGAGCTCTAATTGGCTGATGGAAAAAAAAAATAGTGAGTAGACTTCAAGTCATCAAGCATAGAGGTCTTCCCACTGTCCTTTCAATCAAAGCCAATCAGAGCTCCGCGTTGCCCTGACGTCACTGCAACTCATGCGGCAAGAAGCAGACTGCTTGCTTTCCGCATATTGTCTTGAGGCACTTATAAGAACCTACATGCAGACTATACTTAATTCACCTCAAGTTCAGACGCAACCGATGTTACGAGCTGATGAGACCAATCCGAAAGCGTCAAAAGGGCACCATCATAGTGTTCGTCGTGTTTGTGCATGTGTTCTATGATCGCTGAACCAATCATACACTAAGAAGGCCTAGTGACTTGCTCTTCGGACGCTGTTTGATTTGTCTCATTACCTCGTAGCCTCTGCTGCGTCAGGACGTAGGCTGAAACGAAGCATAGCAAGTCGATTCCCGAATATTTTATCACACCGGAAGCTCCCTAAGGAGTTCGTCGATCATGCGCAGACCTCTTTTATATACGTTGATTATAAGGATATTCGAATAATTTGATTGGCCTAGTAAAGAATAAATTAATTATATTTCTCGTCGATCAATTTCCTAACCTATTATGTGGTCAAGAGAACACTCCTCTATGATGCTGTCTGTCGTGTCCATCGGTTTTTGTAGATGCGAAAATGGGTTTTAGTATTTGAATACAACCATTAGCGCCCCAACAATTGGCGATTAAAATAAATCGCGTCGTTTAAACCTACCATTTCTGATTCTCTCAGGCTCATAAAAAAATCAATTAATTATTCAATTAGTCTAAAAACAAAACAAAAATACTGGGTTATTTGTTCAAAAATTAAAGGCGTTTACAATTTTCTGAGAAGCCGAATTAGAGGGCAGCTCTTGAAGAGGGGGACGAGAGGGTACGGAGGAAAGGTTGTGCCCCTTTTCCTTCCCCGCCAAATTTAGCGGGGAAATTTTTCTGCTAAATTTAGAGGAGAAAGTTTGACCCTCGTGACGTCACACGTGATGTCACGTGCTACGTCACACGTGTCCTCAGACGTGACGTCACGAGGGTAAATTTAGCGGGAGTACTTTTGCGCTAAATTTAACGGAAAAATTTCCCCGCTAAATATAGCGGGAATATTGGTAATGTTAGCTGCGAACGACGTCACGTGACGTCACATGTAGCATCATATGTCACGTGTTTCTTAACGTAACGTCACGTGTGACGTCACGTGACCCTCGTGAAGGTAACCCACGTGACCCTCGTGAGGGTAACCCTCGTAACCCTCGTGAGGGTAACCTTGTAGCTTTCACGAGAGTAACCCTCGTGACGTCATTATGGGAAACGTCCCATAATGCAACGCTCGGTTACGCCGACGGCGACGACGTCGTCGCTCAAGCCGGAAGCGTACGCCTAAGAGCTGGACTCTAAAAGATTATCGGTGCAGAACGCAGAGGTGCATATCACAGAGGAGTAAAAAAGATAAAAGTAGGAAAACCCCATAGAGGCACAAATATATTCAATTATTTTCTTTCGGTCTAGTACTGAATTCATAAAAAGTTACCAAACTACTAATATCAAATTACTTTTTGTAGTACTTTGGTAATCGTTTGATCACTTTTCATACGTAGTAATAGCACAAGTGTTCTAATTAGCAGTAACCGTTGGACCTTTCACTATTTTTTTTAATATGTGCCTCAGGCTATGTTTAGGAATGAAAAAAAAAAAAAATTGCGCAGTCAGAGGTGCAGAGAACATAACGGCGAAAAGTTGAGTCAACCAAAATGAAAAAAAGAAAACATTTAAGTTACTTTTGTCCTTCAGCTGTGACATGTTTGTCACAAGTAAGGCTAAACTTTTGATGGTCTATGGGTTTGGTGAACCTTTGGTGAACCTAATCAAAGCCTCACGGCGACAAGGAAGAAAAGCTATTTTAAAGGGGCCCTATAATGATCTTTGAACCGGTCTGGAATTAGCACTGAGGCGGAACTCATCGAACGTAGGAATACGGAGCAAAACATTTTAGCTCTGTCACTTATTCTGGACAATTCATGGATTGGAGGGTTGGAGCGAAGTTTCTGGCCAATTGGCTGCGGGTGAGGTTGATGGCTACAGCGCCGAGAACGGGTACAAATCGTCGCCA